TTCTTTTCAGAGTAATTTTTTTTATTTTGGTTCTATATAGTATTTTTGATGCTGGTTATGAAAACAGTTTGTAACTCGTCTTCCTATAAACCATATTTTTTTACCATATTTTCTTAGTATACTCGTCGACGACTGAAAAAGAACATTTTGTGAAAACGAGTATACATGTTTCTGCCGGGGAAGCTGCCTGGCTGCCGGCTGCCATCTTGGCTGGAAGTTAATTTGCATATCTCGCCTATTAGCCAATGGGAAGGGTAGCAGTCGTACGCCAATTACCATGTTTCTCTTTTATTATATAAGGATGGGCTCTGAAGATTTAAATTTTAAAATTATGAAAAGAGAATGAAATTAATATTTAAAGATAGCACTTGTCCCTGCTAAAATAGTCAGAAGGGACAGTCTCACTTTTAGACCTGGTACTTTAGCCATCTTTTTCCTTTGACCTGTGGCCAACTATTTTGGAAATACCTCCAGAGATAGTCTGTACATGCACAAGCAATTATATACTGTATTCACCCCACCCCCACATGTATTGTGGTATACTGTAAACACTTCTCTGTACTTTGTTCTTTAACTTAACAATTGACTTTGGAGATTGTTTTATGCCCCTACCTGCAGATATTCTTCATTCTTTTTACAGCTGCATAGTGAGAATAAAATTATTTAATCATCCTTAAAGACTTCACATGACAGATGTTTAGCAGTTGTTAGAGTAAATAAACTTAGTATTTTTTTTCAATACAGAGATCAGGAATTTCCTTTGTCATGTTAAACTAGACGATTTTTATTAGATGTTGGGAAAATTTTTAAACAATTTTTCCCCTTTTTTTTAGGTAACCAAACAGCTCAATGGAGTCTGAGCAACTGTTTCATAGAGGCTACTATAGAAACAGCTACAACAGTATAACAAGTGCAAGTAGCGATGAGGAACTTTTAGATGGAGCAGGTGTCATTATGGACTTTCAAACTTCTGAGGATGACAATTTGTTAGATGGTGACACAGTAGTTGGTAAGTTCAGCATTGCAACTCTTAATATTTGTAGTCATGAATATCTACTAATCAGTATATGCTTGTTTTACTGAGGTTGTATATTGGGGTAACTTTTTCTAAATTGAGGTGATTCATGTAACATAGAGCCACTGTTAAAGTGTACAGTTTAATGGTATTTAGCATTTTTGTAATGTTGTGCAACTACTGCTTCTTTCTAGTTCTGAACATTTTCATTATCCCAAAGGAAAACTTTGTATTTGGATAAACTTTAAAATTTAAATATAACTTAATGCAGAGATGTATACAACTGTAGTTGGGGTTCTCAAATAAACAGAACTCATAGGATAAATATTGATATGTAGGAAGAGATTTATTATGAGTGATTGGCTCACATGATTGTGGAGGCTGAGAAGACCCATGACCTGCCATCTGCAAATTGGAGGCCTAGGAATGTTGCTGGTGTAATCCTACTCCCATTCCCAAAGGCCTGAGAACCAGGGGAACCTGTGGAGAAGTCCCAGTTTGAGTCTGAATGCCCCAGGTCCAGGAGCGCTAATGTCCAAGGGCAGAAGGAGATAGATTATATCCCAGCTCAAGCAGAGAGCAAATTCACCTTTCCTTTGCCTTTTTGGTCTATTTAGATCCTTAACTGATTTTATGATGCCCACTTTTGTTGATGAAAGCATCTTTTTTCAGTCTCCCAATTCAAATGCTAATCCCTTCTGTAATGACCTTCATAGACATATATACAGAAATAATGTTTTACCATCTATCTGGGCATTCCTTAGCTCAGTAAAGTTGACGCATAAAATTAACTATCACAACAATCATCAAATCCTAAGTGTGGAAATTGATGAATTTCTATATGAACACCTCATATAACTACCCCTGTATCAAGAAACATTATCAGGACCCCCAGAATCCTCCCTTGTTCCCCCTTCCAGTTTCAAAGTAACTACTATTTTGATTTCTATTACTGCAGTTTAGTTTTGCAGGTATTTTCCTTTATCTAAATGGAATTATACCACATCTATATATATGGAAAAGCCCAGCAACTGGAACAGCAGAACGACTGGTGGCTATGACATGCACTGTGGCAGCCAACCACCTGATCCAGGCCCTGATTGCTCACCTCTCCCCACACCCCAGTCCGGTCCTGATTGGCCCCCAACACCCTGATCTGGGGTGGGGCCAACCAACTGTCCGTGGCCCCTCCTCCCCACAGGCCTGGCCTGATGGGCCCCCATTGGGATGGGCTGGCCAGACCCCACCTGTGCACAAATTCGTGCACTAGGCCTCTAGTATAATATATATACTTTTGGGTCTGGTGTCATTTACTTATTCTTTGAGCATCATCTATGTTGATTATATTGCCATTGCCATTTAGTATCCCATTGTGTAAATATGCTCAATTTATATATTTTATGCATTCTATATTATTGATGGGTATTTAATTTTTTTCTTGTATATTTTGTCTATTAATCCTATATAATAAAAGCCTAATATGCAAATCTACCGAATGGTGGAACAACCAGTCGCTATGACGCGCACTGACCACCAGGGGGCTGATGCTCAATGCAGGAGCTGCTCCCAGCCCTCAGGCCCCAGGTCAACCAAGGCGGGTGTCAGTGGGGGCCCCCAGATCGCCCCACTGGTTGCCCCACAGATCAGCCCTGATTGCCTGCCAGGCCTACGGACCCTACTCATGCACGAATTTCGTGCACTGGGCTTCTAATTAAATAATAATGCTGCTGTGAATTTTCATGTGCATGTATTTTAGTGGACATTATGTACACAGTTCTTTGGAATTTATGTCTTGGAATGGAATTCTTAGATGACAGGGTATGTGGATCTCAGTGCTATCAGATGCTGTCAGAAATAGTTCCAATGTGGTTGTAGTAAGTACATTCTACCAGTCCTGTGTGAGAGTTCCAGTTGTTCCACATCTTCACCAATACTTGATATAATCAGTTTTTAAAATTTTGGCTATTTTAGTGTAGGTGCAGTAGTCTTGAGTTTTGATTTTAATTTACGTTTGCCTGATGGCTTATGAGTTGAAGTGCCTTTTGTTTGTTCATTGGCTTTTTAGATCGCCTCTTTAGAAGTGCTTTGGTAGTTTGGTATTTTGGGGTAATTTTTGAGTTCTTTATGCACTCTGATTATGAGTCCTTTGTCACATATATGCATTGCAATTTCTTCTCTTTCTGTGGTATCTCCTTTCATTCTCTTACTGGCATCTTCAGATCAGTATGTTATCGCTTTTGATGAAATCCAGTGAATCGTTTCCTCTTTTGTGTTTTTGTTTTAAGATATCTTCCCACACCTCAAGGTCATAAAGATCCTTTCCCATTTTCTTTTAGAAGTTTTATTTTTTTGTATCTTTCACACTTAAATTTATAATTTATCTGAAATTAACTTTTATATGTGATATGAGTTAGGGGTTCAGATTCATTTTTTCCCTATATGAATAACTAGTTAACCCAACACTAGAGACTATTTTGAAAATAATTTTGTATCTGCTAGAAGATATAAATGATTAACAGATGATCTAAAACTTTTATTCCATGTGGCAAAGTCATGATAATTTCAGCTATGATAAATGTAAAAAAAATTTTTTAAATTGATTTGAGAGAGAGAGGGAAGAGAGGGAAGGAGAGAGGGAGAGAGAAAGAAAGAGAGAGAGAGAGAGAGAGAGAGAAAAGGGCCTCCCATCTTAAGGGCTTTTATCTGTGAACTTTTCTGGGAGAACTGAGAAAATAGTTGGGTAAATCATGTTTTATGTTGTGGTTCTAATTAAGAATTTTAGTTGAAAAAGCCTCAGTAGTTATGAGCTAAGCCTATAAAATTATAAGCTGAAGTAAATACATAAAATTAAAGGGTGTCTATGAATCTGTTTAAACAGTTCTAAAATACTGACAGAGGAAATTCCTTGGAAGAAAATATATATATTTTGTTGATTTAAGAGAGGAAGGGAGAGGGAGAGAGAGAATCATTGATTGGCTGCCTCCTGCGTGCCCCCCACTGGGGATCGAGCTTGCAACCCAGATATGTATGTTTGGCCGAAATCGAACCTAGGACCCTCCAGACTGCAGGCTGACATTCTATCCATTGAGCCAAACCAGCTAGGGCTGAAAGATTATTTTTGAATATTGATTTTTAAGAAGTTATAGCTTATTAGTTCTAATGATTTATTTATGATGGCTTTTAAGAATATTGTCATATCATTGGCAAATAGTGACAGTTTTTCTTCCTAATCTTTATAGCTTTCTCCTCCCCAGTCCCCCTTGCTTTGCTCAGCTGACTCTAGTAAATTGTTGAATGGAAATGATGATTACAGGCATCTTTTGTCTTGTTCTGACCCTAAAGTTTCACCATTAAGTATTACCTCAGAGTTTTAAGGATGATGTTTAATCTGGACTTTGATGTTACCTTTTATCAGATTAAATAGGCTCAACACCTATTCTTATTTAAGAATATACTATTTATCATAATAAATGGACATTGAATTTATTATTTTTCTTCCATTTTTTGAGATGATTATCTGATTTAGTCCTTTTTTTTCTAACTTTAGTTGATTTTCAGATATATTAATGTATTATTTTTTGTAAATTGCTGGATTTGATTTGGTTATGTTTTATTTAGGATTTTTACATATATTTTCATAACTAAGATTGGCTGATAGTTTTTCTTTGTCCTTATTAGATTTTGTTACCAAAGTTACACTCCCTTCAAAGTCAGTTGTACTGATGTCTTTTTCTAGTCTCTAGAAGGGTTTATGTAACATTGGCATTATTATTTCTTCCTTAAATTTTGGTAGAATTTGTGAATGAAACTCTTGGTTTAGAATTTTCTGTGGATTAAGCTTTTAAATTATGTTTCAAGCTATTTAATGGTTATAGCACTATTCTTTTTTTTAAAAAAAAATGTTTTTATTGATTTCAGAAAGGAAGGGAAAGGGGGAGAGAGATAGAAATATCAATGATGAGAGAGAATCATTGATAGGCAGCTTCCTGCCTGCCCCACACTGGGGATCCAGCCTGCAACCCAGTCATGTGCCCTGACCAGAAATCAAACCATGACCTCCTGGTTCATAGGTCGACACTCAACCACTGAACCCAGTCAGCTTAGCACTATTCTTAATGTTGTTTCTTTTTAGATCAATTTGGTAAGTTGTATTTGTCTAAAAAATCGCTCTTTTTATTTAAAAAATTTATTAGCATGAAATTGTTTTAGTGACTGTAGGTTCTGCAGTCACGATAATGACTTTGTCATGCTGCTAATGGTTGGTTGTGCCCTTCTTCTTTTCTCTCCCTCTCTTCCTTCTTTTCATCTCCCCTTAATAATCAGTGTTCGTTTAGATTTATCAGTCATTAATCTTCCAGTGAACTACTTTTGCCTTTGTTGTTCTTTTCTATTATGTATTTGTTTTCTGTTTTATTAATTTCTGTTCTTATTTTCTTCTAATTTCTCTGGATTTATTTTCCTGTAACTTTTTTTAACTTTTTGAAGTAGTTCTTTAAGTTTTAGCCTTTTTTCAGGTAAATATATTTAAAGCTGATTCCCTCCAGATACTTATTACTGTTGTCACTAATTAAGAATCCATCTAACTTCCATAATGATATCTGTTTATACTTATAGTTTATTTAGAAATGTAGTTCATAATTTCCAAACCTATGAAGACTTTCTGGTTATATTTTTAATGGGTTTACAACATTATTAAATTGCTGTCAAAGAATATACATTGTGTAATATCAACATTTTCAAAATTTTTGAGACTTGCATTGTGGCCTAGGAAAAGGTGTATTTTTATAAATGTTCCACATATGCTATAGAAGAGTATATAATATGAAATTTTTGGTTAATGATATTCTCTATATACCCATTAGGTAAAATCTGTGAATATTCTGATGAACTCTTTTTTTTTCACTTAACTATGTTTCTCCTTGTTTGTTTCTATCAAGTATATGATAATGATGCATTAATATTTATCTGTAGACTTATGTATTATCGTTTCTTGT